AAAAAAATGACTACCTAAACATACATGACTATGCATGAGCTGAAATAAAAAACTAAGTGGCAAGGCCACGGACCCCAACAATTTTGGGGACATGACCTACTCAACCTAGCGATCACTTTGGGAAAAAAAAGAACTTCGACGCACACTTTGATATTTGATAAAAAAATCACACACTAGGGTTGTGGGGATTATGAGGAAGTTTCTCCTCATCGTGAGTGCTTTTTTTTATTAATTTCCCATAAAAAGAAGACAGTTTTTGAGTCCCTAAAACTCTGAATTTAAATGGTCTGTGTGCAATTCTGTGGCTTGATTTTCTGTCATAACGTTCCAAAGTATGTGCTGAATGTTTTTTTTTTTTTTTGATGATGGTTGCTAGGTAGAGTCAGTCATGTCCCAAAAGTTAGGATCCGAGTGAAGGTATTGTAAAGGAGCAAATATACATTTCAGCCCAAACAAATGGTTTCTTAAGAGGCACTTAATTTTAGGAGGGGGCAAAATTGGAATTGTCCTTTCTATATGAAATTAAATATAGGGTTTTTGAAATTAAATTTAAAAATTGGATGGGCTGTTATATAGTTCATCTCTTAGGTGCTTTTTGATAGAGTTTGCTGCAGAATCCATTGGTTCTTGGGAGGGGCTCATGGATCCCCTCTCCTTGGAGTCCAGGCCCGCTTCGAAAGAAGATAATATTTTGAATCATGCTGATCAGCTTGGTCTCAGGGTAAACAGGTGCAGGTGCTTGAGCTGATTATTCTGCTTAAGGACTGGGGAAAGGATTGCTTCTTAATGGTGTTTTTATAGTTCATACTTAGTTTCGAAAGTGAAAGGGTCTGAGGTAGGGGACACTGAAGTGGTCGGGGATTAGGGAGAGGCAGAGGATCAAGGGTGATTTAGAATATGGTTTCTTGCTTATTTCTGAGAGAATCCCATGAGTGCTTGGTGAAGTAGCATTGGTCTTTAGGTCTCCTGGTATGCTCACAGCTTCTAGTTAAAAAGATGATTACTCATTGAATTTCAAGGGCTAACGGCAATAAGAGAAATGGAACCTAAACGTTTTTGTAGAATATTGATATTGCTGGCTGGGACACCTGAAATTGGGACAATTCTCATTTAGGACTCCACCCTGAGCAATGGATTTCGAAGTAAACATGGGATTGTTTGAATGCTTCTTGTTATTTTAGGCAATCGTTCGATGTGAAGTTAGGATGCTTTTACCTGGAGGTTCTCTGTTTCTCTTAAGTTTAGACTGTTTGTCTGGCTTTGCTTAGTGGTTCCTCTTAGCAATGTATTATGTATGGCCCCCAATTTATGTTTAAATACACTTAGGGCAAATTCAAGTAAAAGAGATTGGCTGGTTCGGTTCTGTTTTATGAAGGTAACAACCGTTATAAAGGAAAAAGAGTGTTTCTCCAAAGAAACAGGAAAACAGTAGCAAAGTGGATAAAAACAGAAAAAAGGAGAAATTAGAAAACAGAAATTGCAAAAAAATGGAGAAGAAAATGAGGTAATATCTACTTGATATATTTACTTAATTTTTTGGGCTTTTTTAAAGAAAAGATATTTAATATTTTTTTTTTCTTGAGACATTGGATATCCTAGCTATTACATTTTGACTTAGGGTATCCTCACCCCTATGTCATTGTCTTAGAGGGGCAATTTGACTTAATTGACCCTCTTTCCATTTGTTTTTTCTGGACTCTATGCCACTTTCTATATCTCTAGAACCATTGTCACTAGTTCCTGAATTTGCAAGATAAATAAGAACCAAAAAATGCTTTTAGGTCACATAAAGATTTAAAACTCTTCTCTCTCTCTTTCCCCCTCCCCCCTCCTCTCTCAAACCACATAATTTTTCTTACTGCAAGTCATGAATTTACAGAAGAAATTAAAACTCTCTCTCTCTCTCTCTCTGCCACTTCAAACCAGCAGCCAGCCTTCAAATCCATGCAGTCCTCCTGGCAGCAATGAGCCCAACCTTCTGACCCAAAGGTGCATTTGCATCTCTTTTCATTGTGCTTGCATGACCTATGTGTTGATGGCTACCACAGTGTTCAACTGGGTTCACGGCCACACCTCTAGCCTTCAGTCGATGGCTCCTCATCACTCTGTGGTATGCTACTATGCTTTGTCTGCCTTTAAAATGGTATTTCTGTCCTCTCTCCTGCTACTTGCTTTATAATGGCCTTGCACCCACTTGAAACCACCTTCATTGTGCTGGAGTGATGTTTGATCCTTGTATCCCCATTACCAAGGTTATGACTGATAATGATCGTGTATATTTCCTGAAGCCCCCACCAAAAACCCCTCAATCTCCAACATTTTGCTCCACATTACATACCACCATGCCCTCTAATATCACTCTCAACGGAAGTATAGTTGCTGCCATTACCTTCACTTTTTTTTCATCAATAAACAAACTGATGCTTGTATATGCCCTCTGGTGCAACAAGGAGCTCCCTTTGAAGCTTGTACAGACATTGGATGCCTAAATGTGACTTTGCTAAGAGGATCTTCAGGACCTGGATCATGAATTTCATTAGTGGCCACACCTTTTTAAGTATCCATTTCTATATCCATAACCAGGTCTCCAAACCTTGCAAGTCCTGGTGCCAGCCTTGCACACCAAACCAGCTCCAGTTCTTTGAGCACCAGTCACATAACTCATGGCTTGGATTGAGGGTTTGAGTGGGGGGATTAAGTGCAAAATTATGTGAAATTAGGGTTTCACGTTTACTCTCTGTGGAGTGGAGAGTGGTAATCTCTTCGGCATTTTCTCTCTCTAGAATGGAGAGATATAAAACCTCAAATATGCCCCTTTTATCCCCTCTCTTCTCCCTAGTGTCTACCTCTATCCAAGCATGAAAGAGAATCCTGGGCACTAACTCTTTCCCTCTACCTAAGCATGATGAACTCCCTGGGCAATTGATTCGTTAAAGGATTTTGTGCGAAGTTGATAACAGGGGTCTCCTTCTAAAATGTCAACTGGGTTTCCAACGATCACATCAATGAGTCTTCTCATTCCTCAAGTTCAGCTAAGAAAAAGTACCTGGCTTCTGGCGAGATGAAAGGGGGGTTTGGCCTCATTTTAGAGAGAGAAAAGAGGAGAGAGAGAGAGAGCGATGAGGTGCAACTTGCCTCAGCCTTGTACCTAGTTCAATAATACTTGGCCGAGTTGTTGAATCTCGAGCGAGTACATGGAGCACTCGCCATGGGTGTACAGGTTGCTCGGAGGACCTCGAACTCGCTCTAGACTCAGCCGAATCTGAATCTGAGTCTCAGTACACTAAGGGAGAGAGAGAGAGGGAGACAAAAAGGGTTACTCAGATGAGAGAGAGAGAGAGAGAGAGAGAGAGCATAGTGGTTGGGATCATGAAAGGCTCGAGAATCCCTCTGGTGGGAATGCCCTCTTTACAATGCATATGTTAGGGTTCAAGATCACCAAATGCTACAGGGAAACAGGAATAGAAGAAATTGGACCTACAAGAGAGGACAATTTGATCTGTTGCCCCTCTTAAAAAAATGCATGAAATATCTGTTCTAAAAAATATCTCTTTTTTTGCTTTATGAAGGCTGTTATTTTTTCTCTTAGGGCTGTTGCTTTCATGTCTCATTACTATTGAAAACCCATTAAGATGGCCTTTATGCCATTATATAATGGCTGTTGTAAAGGAATAACGATCATTATTTTTAGTACAAACCGTGTTTAACATCCCTGCCCATTACCTTTATATGATGTGCAGGAGGGTTTTTCCTTTGTACGGCTGTTATTACTGTTATGATGAGCGTTTTTTTAATTTTGCTTAAGTATTTGATTGATCTTTGGATTTTTATGTGTGACTTTAATGTAATCAAATTGTGAAGAAGTGAGGCTCTGAAGTTCCTCCTTGTTTCACGCATTTCTGAGCTCACGATGTGGCATGAATTAATTGACCTTTCTATGGGTCAGGATTGGTCCTTCTCGACTAATACGAATGTAAAGCCACACCAGGGTGGATTTCTTGCTAGTTGTTCCCTGTTATTGAAAAATCAGTATTCTGATGAATTTGTACGGTGAGACATTTCTTGCAGCAAAAGTTCTTATTAATTCTCATGAAATAAATATTCCCTTTAATACTTGGGATGTTTTAAGATTTGGAGCTCGTGGTTAGGGTCTGGCAACATTTAACTTTACTAAGATACAAATATGATTACATGGAATGTTGTTCCGGACTGCTTCAATCAGTTTATTCTCCATCTCCTCACTGGTCCTACCTTATTACTCTAATTGGATATAGTTTGTGGTCGGGCTTGCTAAAGGCTCTACAGTTGGTTGTCTTAGAACCCATGGTATTCTATGTTAATACTACAATTTTCCCAAAGGCCATGTATTATTCAAAAATGGACATTAGCTAGTTCGCATGTGCATTAAACTTTGTTTTGGCTTTTGGATGGTGAGGGTACTGAGCTAGATGGTACCTGGTAAACAAGAAAATCCATCTCCCATAGTCAATCAATCTTTGAATTTTACAGTTAACCTGGCATTCATTTGCCCCTGGTTGTAGAGTGTTTATCCACAATATTTCTAGGGACTCTTTGGATTGTATATAAAGTGTGACTCTTTGCACACCCATTCTTTTAGGTCTGGTTGGAGCAATGACTGATATGCCTGGTTGGAGCAATGACTGATATGCCCCACCGTGACTGTCCCTTACTTTACTGTTGCAGCCGTCTCATCTAATTCCTTGACTGAATTCAACTTATTTCTAAATTAAGGGCCAATCTTTTCCGACAGGATCAAGTTGTTTGTATGTGATCACTGGGTTGATTGTATTCCTTGATTTGGACCATTGCCATCTGAAATTAGAGCAAACTTCCACTGGTAACTAGAATTCTCCATTTTGTTTCATTATCTTCCAACAGGACCATATATCGTATAGTTTTTTCACATCATTTGTAGTATAATATTGATTTTATGATTATTGATAGCTTGCACTTTGATAAACTCCAGTTATCATTTTCAGGATTGGAGAGGAGCAGGCTGCTGAAGATGCTGAAGATGGACCACCTGAATTGCTATTTGTTCATGGAGGTCACACAGACAAGATATCTGACTTCTCATGGAATCCCCATCATGATTGGGTCATTGCAAGCGTAGCGGCAGATAACATTATTCAGATATGGCAGATGGCTGACCATATTACTAATGATGGTGAGGATGTGCATGCTGATTTATATCCCTAGCCTGCCTCTTTGGGAAGTCTAGAAATTCTATAGCCAGGTCCTGTTCCTTGGGTTCACATATCTCCACGAGGCCTGTTTGGATGAGAGACCCGGCTCTTTGAATTTCAGCTGCCTTGTGGGCATTTTTCTGTTGATTATTGGTGTTGTAGCTCTATTCAAGACTTCTTTTTCTTTTTTTTTGTCATTTTGAGGCTTAGCTTTCATTTTGTTAATTACGGGCCATATCGTAAAAGGAGAATGAGCTGAAACACGTGCAACTGGTGGGTAGGACCTGTCACATGGTCCATCAGCCTCGGCTTAGTAGTATACATCCTGGTTTGGATGAGGAACGTCAAAGGTTTGAAATATGGAAATGTCTAGAAAAACCAAGGAAGCTGACTTACATTTCGTCATGCTTGGAAAGTTCAGTTAAAAACATATATCTGCTTGCTTGTGCCCATAGTTGCGCATATGCAGAATATTTGTGAGTTCCTCATTTGGACTAGAGGTGGTAAACCCAGTCAATCCATAGTTTGCTCTCATGTACTTGCATATGGAACTGTTCGCATGAAGCATTAAACTTAGTCACCTTTCGGTCTCTGTTTTGGTTTTGGCTCTTGAAATATCCCCCTTGACTGTCTATGCCAAATGCATCCTGAAGGAGATTCGAAGTTTTCTTTCTTTCTTTGTTGGTAAGAGGGATTCATTACCTTCAATCTAGTGGAGATCGTAGAACTCCAAAAAAATATTCGGCAATATTTTCAGAGCGCAATGCAAACGTGATTTTCAGAGCGCAATTCAAACAGGATTTGTTATTTAATTTTCAAGACTTGTGCACCAAGTTTTAAGGTGACATTGTGAACAAATTGCAAATGAATATGAAAGCTAGCATGCATGATTTTGCCCGTGATGCGTATCAATTAGGCAGCTCATCAAGAATACATTTTAAATATGAATAGGCAGTTTAAGATGGTGACGGATTCCCAGTCAAGTCCCTTACGTGTTTTTTTGGGTAAAATGTTGGATCCCCCACCGTGACCGTCAGTTATTGAAATAGGAAGTGTAAATTATAGATACCTCTGAAATTGGACTTTTTAAACGATACTTTTGATGCCAAATTGTTAACTCAAAACACTTTTCTTTTTTGCACCCACCCTCAAGCAAAAAATATGATTTTTTTAGACTTAAATGCCCTTATTTTAATCCATGTTTTTCATGTTCTCTCTATGCCGGGTTGGCACAAAATGTGCTAGATTGGCAGAACTTGAATATGCAAGCTAGTTTGGCACAATTTGTGTAATTTCAATATAAGTTGGTTTGGTACATTTTGTATTGGATTGGCAGAATTTTAATATCGAAAGCCAGTTCGGCACATTTTGTTTTGGGTTGGCACTTTTTTCATAAGGTTTGTCGGTTCGGTACAAGTCGGTCTAACAAATTTTTGTGCGATATCAGCACATTATAAACATGGCTTAAAGGGGGAAGGGGGGATCTATAATTTTCCCAAAAAAGAAAGTATTGATAGAAACATTGAACTCTAGATGTTGCGTTGTTAAACTGGCTAGCAAAATATTGGGAAAAAAGAAAAGAAAAAGAAAGCATCAAATGAGGAGTTGCACTTGTTATAATTACTAGGAAAATTGACACTTGAAACCTTCTTTCAAACGGTGTCAAAAAACACCTTATTTCATGGACTTTTCAAGTGGCTCTTCTACCAAGGATAATGCCTACATGGAACTCTTTCAGTGGTGACTCAAAACCAATTCCACTGGCGCTCTTCTGAAAACTAACCCCGTTACTTTCCCGTATTCTTCCCTATTCCCTGGCAGCATAACACCATGAAGTTCCCATTCTCTAGCTAACAAAACTTTTGCAACTACAGATCCAACCTAACAATTGCAGTCTATGATCCCAGCCATGGTCCATCCGTACCGGAATTTGCAACTTGGGAGAAGAATCCTACAATAGAATACAGTTTTTTTGTTATCATCCCCTTCTGTTAACGAATTTGCTGATCACCCACATAAGGAGAGACAGAGAGAGAACCAGAGTGAAAAATGAAATATTTATTATTGGTAGGGAGGATTGCTTTGATCAAATCAACGTTGTCCAACCTCCCAATGTAATACCTTTTCTTATTTCGGATGCCAAATCAAGTGGTGAAACTTTAGAAGGAATGATGAGGTATTTTTTATGAGGCAATAAGGGTGACGAACGGATAATTCACTTGGTTAAATGGGAAGAGAATTTGAAACTTCTCTAGCTAGTGGATCAACCTGTATTGATGGGAAATAAGAGGCAAATCATTTTTCTGGCTAGTATGAGGGAGAGATTTATTCATAGGTTTGATGGTAATCGTAGAATATTTTACATGTGTTCTATATGGACTTTTGGGAAACAATTTAAAATCCGGCTTTTTTCTTCTGAAACTTATATGACTCTAGATATTCAGAAATAGCTAGGAAATGGTTATAAAACTTTCAGAATATTTACAAAGACTAACATTAGACACAAAATTTTAGATTTTTTGAAATTTGACACCATAATCTAATTTTGAACAAGTAATTGCTGAGTTGGTTAAATTGAAAATGCATCTAGATGTTATGGTAGCATATACAGACCCTGGTAATAAATCAATTCCTTTGACTTCTAGACACACCATGAATGCTTTAGTAATAAACTCATCATTAAGACTTAAAGAAAAATTTGGAAAGCTTGTGCAAATATTATATTTGTTTAAACATCTTATAAATTGACATACTAGGGCTTTTTCCCATACCAAATTTTTAGAGAAAGCATATGTTGAGCATTCTTCTTTCTGTTTCCCTTTGTCTCTAGAGAGTTTTCAAAGAGATATATAGTAATATAGCATATTTTTTTAAAGCAAAGGGGCTAACATATTAAGCATTCTTCTTCAGTAGAAGAGATAGAGACTTATAGTCCTAAGAGATAAGGTAAACAGAGTTTTCAAAAAAGAAAAAAAAACAGAGAAACATATAGTAAAAGAGAGAGAAACACGAGAGAGATAGACGACGTAGGATAATCACTTGATTAAGGATTAAAGATTATTACTTAATCAATATTCCTTAATCACAATTAGAAGAACTTGGGAAAGAGAGTCAAAACCATTTTGCGACTTCTCGGATGAATCAATAGAGGAAGAGAAAGATGAACTTTGAAGAGAGAGGAGAAAAACTGATCTTTCTACTTTTTTTTTGTCTGAGGGGGTTACCTACTGATTTGAGTTCAACAAGTGAGGTAGAAATAAATTACATGGGAAGAAGATAGATGAAGGGGGTTGAGTAATGTGCTCAACTACCAATAGCTAGCCGAGATATCTTTTTAAAGGCTGTAGCTTGCTGGCCCTCTCAGTCAGATCAGCAACTTGAACATTCAACAATACATGACAATGTTCATAGTTGATATTACACTCACATTAAAAAAGAGCTTCAATATCCTGAGTTTCATCTCGGAACGGGATTTGACAAGTTCACCACGGAATATTAGAGCACGAAGACTCTACCAGGCTTGGTTATCCAATTTGTTTTGTACAAACAAACACAACTTCAATGCTATCTCATTTCATGCAAAAGCGATACATATTTATAGCAAAGGAAAAACAAAAAGTAGCCTAGAATACCACACAGTGGTTTACAAAACAACGAGCTTAAACTATGGGCAAAAAGTAATACCACCCTTAAATAAAGAAAAACCTCACTGTAATACATCCACTTGTCACTTATTCTTACATCCATTTAAAAAGCAAATTCTATCTACTAAAAAAGCAAATAGTACATCCATTATTTAAAAAGCAAAACTATTTGTAAAAAGTACCACTTTCTTAAACTAATATCACTAAGAAAACCATGAGTTTTTTTTCTTTAGGATTGTTACAGTTCATCTTCAGAATTGATTATGCTACAATATTCTCCATGAAGTTATACACAGAAATGTTCTCTGAATTGGCAACTATAGCATGTTTTAACACTTTTTTAGAAGCGATCCAATGGTTGTATTGTTGTAGGTGGCCTTATGCTAGATGCTTCATGGCTATAAAGTAATTCATCATTATATCTCTGAATAATTCTTCGCTTAGTGAAATTAATCTTTTGAAAATATTTACATAAATCATTTTCCCAATTTGTATATCTTAATAATGTTTTCATGAAATCTCAGGCAATGTTATTAATATATAACTGTTTTCCAAATATTATCAAATCATCCGGGACTTCTTTATTAATAATCCAGGCAATTAGTTCAGGTTTTAAGGATGACCATCTGAAATTATTTATAACTATATTGATTCTTCATGTGAAAGTGTGAAAACAATCTATGTTCGTGTTAGACTCTGCTGCTGAGTCAATATTCTTAGGTTCAGGAGGAAAATAATTCCTTATTTTTTGATAGAATTTATATTTTTCTTCTGGGGTTTCTAGAGGCCATGCTAGCCACTCATCGTTTTGAAGTGTTCTTATCATCTTCATTTCTCTTGTAAGGGTATCTGGAAGATGATGTTTTGTTCCTAGGACTTTCTCAACTAAAAAATTATATTCGGAAAGGATGACCTGCCACCATGCATACCTCTGTAATTTTGGAATGCTATTAATTTTCTTTTTCATTACACTGACCAAGTTTGAAAAGTCAGATCTAAAGATAAATGTTTATACTATTAAACTAGTGTGAAACTGGACAACTCCCCGTACTGTAGCCAAAGTTTCATTTTCTGTGAGCCAATAGTTCGGTCATGCTTTTTTAATTGGCCGCTAGTGTAAGCACATATTTTTTCTTCTATGTTTTCCTTTTTTAATAGTATAGCCACCCATGTATTAGATGAGGCATCAGTAGCAAGGATAAATGGACTGCCATATACAGGTGCCAGAGGGGCTAGAGTTTGTACTTTTGCTTTGAGTTGTCTTATTTCTTGAGCAGCTTCTTTGGTCCATCTGAATGGTTCTTCTTTCATAGTGTTTCTATGTTTTCTTGGTTTTCTCAAAAAGCTTGGGAATAAAGCCTAGAATATAGTTGAGACAACCAAAAACTTGTAGCATTGTAATTTATCTTGCAGTTTATCTGAAAATTTTCACTATTTTGGATAATATGGAGTTGCATTTGTATTTGTCCTTTGGAGATATGTACACCAAGAAAATCAATTGATTCTTTAGCAATTTGAAACTTGTCTTTTGAAAAAGGGTACAGTTTGTATAGAGCCGAGGTTCTAAACAATCAAAGTAAAGTGCGTCTTCAAATAATGTTGGGAAATATGGTTTCAATAATGAAAATATTTGTGATAGTCATAAAATATATTTTTATCTTTAATTATAAAATTTAAAGCTTGAAAAATAATGTAGATTGAACAGATCTATGAAAACTTGAAAATCTTGAAAATTGACGGTCCAAAATGTGTTACATGATGTACTATTTCCAAAACTTAAAATCCATTTTCTTTTCTCACATCCATGCATAGAAGATCAATTTAAGGATATTTGGGCATCAAAACAACCTCTTCTAGTGAAATTTTTAAGGTGGGCTCAAATTTGATTGTTTAGAGCCTTGACTGTATATAAACTTTTTCTTTTGAAGAAGCGAGGTCTATTCTATGC